TGTGAAGCGAAGGCCGGGGATCCAACGACCCAGCTGGGTCAGGGGAGCTGGCAGACGGAGGGGCTGACGGATGCATGACGGGAGGAGGTGGGAGAGGGAGGCTGGGTGGGTTCCTGGTCTCGGGCTCTGGCTCTGGTTGGACGGTCTCGGGCTCTGGCTCTGGCTGGACGGTCTCGGGCTCTGGCTCTGGCTGGACGGTCTCGGGCTCTGGCTCTGGCTGGACGGTCTCGGGCTCTGGCTCTGGCTGGACGGTCTCGGGCTCTGGCTCTGGCTGGACGGTCTCGGGCTCTGGCTCTGGCTGGACGGTCTCGGGCTCTGGCTCTGGCTGGACGGTCTCGGGCTCTGGCTCTGGCTGGACGGTCTCGGGCTCTGGCTCTGGCTGGACGGTCTCGGGCTCTGGCTCTGGCTGGACGGTCTCGGGCTCTGGCTCTGGCTGGACGGTCTCGGGCTCTGGCTCTGGCTGGACGGTCTCGGGCTCTGGTTGGACGGTCTCGGGCTCTGGCTCTGGCTGGACGGTCTCGGGCTCTGGCTCTGGCGGGACGGACTCGGGCTCTGGCTGGACGGTCTCGGGCTCTGGCTGGACGGTCTCGGGCTGGACGGTCCCTGGCGTTGGAGTGGGGCTGGTGCCGTCGTCCACGGTGAAAGAAGATCCACATGACACCAGCACCCACTCCACATAGGCCGCGAAGTTCCCTCGAGGCCCCTCTCCGGGCAGGCGTGCCTGGGTTTCAGCGTTTAGGCCTGCCCGGAAGAACACACAGAGGCTGGTATCATCATAGTGAACGTGAGGTATCAAGTCCAAATACCTCTGTGTGTGGGCCTCGAGGGATTGATCCTCCTGCTCCAGGAGGAGAAGTTGCACTGCTGCAAAATCCATTATTAGGCGGTCGGTCGATCTGTCACGGTGCAGGTGCAGGCAGAAAGACAGGCTGAGTCAAAAGGCTTCAATACAAACGGTTTACTTAATAACAAAGTTCAGGTACAGGCAGGAAGACTGGGTAACACCACGTAACATTAAACATCGACCGACAAGGACAGACTGAATGGGAAGGAACTAAATACACACAGGAATCAAACTAAACGAGGTGAAAACAGGTGAAACAGATGAATACAGGACGCTGAACGGGAGGCTGATGAGGGAGTGAGTTCAGGTGTGGAGACAAGAGGATCCTGGGAAGTGTAGTGCTGGAGACGCAGACAGGATGGTGCAGACGAAGACTGTGACACACTGTCCCCTCCTGACAAAAATCTTACTAAACAGTTTATAGAATTGAAGGACCTTTTTTTTATTTTTCTGGTTTTCTTTTTATATATTATTTTTTCTTGTCTTTTCTTTTTGATTTTTTTTTTTTTCATTTTGTTAAAGTAGTTTTTTTTTTTTAATGTTTTGCTGATAATTACTCACCCCCATGTCATCCAAGATGTCCATGTCTTTCTTTCTTCAGTCGAAAAGAAATTAAGGTTTTTGATGAAAACAAAGCATTTCTCCATATAATGGACTTCAATGGAAACCAAACGCTTCAAGGTCCAAAGACACTTTCAGTGCAAACTGCAAACTGTTCAAAGGGCTTTAAGGGATTACAGACGATGAATAAGGGTCTTATCAAGCGAAACGATCGGTTAAAATAAATAAATAAATAAAATAAGTTTTATTAGTTCAAATGCTCACCTTGCTCTGTTCTGTGATGCGCATTTTTGACTCTCCTGTTCGAACTCGTTCATCAAAATGAACAGATCTTTTTCTGATTCAATTCATTCATTTCGTTCGTTGAATGAACCAAATGACTCTGAAAAAAGATTTGTTCATTCGGATGATAATTTTATTTATTTTTTAAATGAGCGATCGTTTCGCTTAAAAAGACTCTTATTCATCGTCTGGAACCGTTTGATTACCAGTAAAGTGAATTATATGGAGAAAAATCCTGGAATGTTTTAATCAAAAACCTTTATTTCTTTTCGACTGAAAAAAGAATGACATGGATATCTTGGATGACATGGGGGTGAGTAAATTATCAGCAAAAGTATATTATAAATTGTAGACTATTTAGGGTGGAACTTTTGAAATGTGTTAGATTCAAGGAAGGTATTTTTTTTCTGAAGAGCTTTAAAAGTTTTTGCTAGTGTTTGGTGAAAAAGTTGTTACCATTTCAAACATCTCAAACACTCACTGAAAGTCTCACCCACGGAAAACAACCTCAATTCTCTTGATATCCTTCACACACACATCAGTTAACTGTGAGAGAAAATTGATAGCTCTCAGCTCCCCAAAAGTCTTTATTACTTTGTTTATCCATCACCCATCAGGCACATAATCAAACGTTTGCTGAAGGTGAATTTGAAGACAAAGTGAATTTGATTGTTGTGATTGAGTTCCTAACATTGATTTTTCCCCCCTTCAATGTCAGACAGGTTTCGAACTCAAAAAGCTCAAGTTTCAACCCATTACGGCTTTTAAGAGTGACATCTGATTTATATCGTGAAACTTTTCAGTCTTTGTTCCATTGTTGGTCTTTATGTGTTCAGTAACTATCTTGAGAACCCCTGAACTAGTTCCACCAGCAAATCCCCAGACATTTCCACAGCCATTATTAGAAGAAGACCTGTAAGCAGTTAGGCCATCACCCCCCTCCCCCAACCAATTTAATAGAGAAATAGAAAATCATATCTGGATATAGAGCAGGCAGCACCACTTAGTGCTTGTGTTCCATTTCACGCTTCAACTTTCCCATTCAAATTTAATTGCAGAAGCCCAGCGCCTGCAGAAACCAGAGACAATCAATTAGAGCTGCAGCGCTGGGAGAAAAATCTCGGCTTCGTATCTTAACCGCTTCCTATGCGTTACAGCTGTGGTTTAAGAAACACAGATGTCTAGGATTTCTTCATTAGCTGGATTATTGGATTACGTTCAGCTTTGATATTAAGGAGGTTTTTGCAGTCGTGGCCACACAATAACTTTGCTATGTGCAAGAAAAGTACAAAATATTTAGCGCAGGTTCATCTGAAACTCACAATGACTCTCAGATCTTAAATAAAACACCCAGACTTATGTATTTCAAGAAGATAAACTGATTCAGGAGAATGCAGCACTGTTTGAGAGATCGAAGATCTCGTAGAAATGAGACCGGTCAAACTGGATAATCAATGTGGAATTGAGTTTCTCACAGCTTTGGGTATGAGATCACTACACTCTCGAGTCATGATGTCATAACCCAAAGAAGGGCTGCTGGGAATTGAGTCTGGGCCATGAGTGTTTGATTTCAGGATGTAGAGCATTTGTCTGGGAATCCCCTGATCCTGTGCTGTTTTTAGCTTTTATTGAACTTTAAAAATGCACATGCACCCATGCGTTTTCTTTTTTCTATTATAACCCATTCTGTTTAATGTAGATTTTGGGTGGGTCTGTGAGAAAGCATGAGGGAACACAAATTTGGTTACATGCCGGCTAAGTTTCTTTGTGGCCGTTCTTTTTTTTATTTTCTTTTTTTTTAGTGCAGGCCCTTTCCTCATGCATTACTTTCTCACTTGCCTACTTTGGCTTTTCAATTTCAATTTTAAAACCTTTTCAATTTAATTGCTTGCATTTTAAATCGATTATTTAAATGTGATCTAAAGGTTTTCAGTAATATAAACAACATGATACAACATGATAGGTTTTTTTTTTCTTTTTGTCAATATTTTTGATTGATTTTTATGAATCACATAAGAGACAGTGGCGTGTCTAAACATGCTACTGTCTCTTATGTGATTCATAAAAATTGCATGTTTTACATGTCTATAACTTACAATTGCAACTAATGAAGTACACTACTGTTCAAAAGTTTGGGGTCTGTAAAATGTTAGTCTCATGCTCAACATGGCTGCATTTATTTAATCAAAGTACAGTAAAAAATGCAATATTGTGAAATATTATTACAATTAAAAATCATATGTTTTTAACCTTCAAATGGTCTTTGATTCCTGTTTACACTTCTGGGCTTCGGGGTCTATAGGACTCCAACAATTGATTGAGTAATTGTACAAAAAATCTACATTTTTAATCATACAAATAATATATCATTTTTTTGTTTGCTTCTCATCTATTCATTAATGCTGTGTTTTTGGAGATATAAAGTACATTTGTATCCATATACCACACAATTCCTCAACTACACCATTAGCTTGCATATGAAATATGATTTTTTTGATACATTACATTTATGCTCTAGTACTAGGCCTTGATTTATGTGTAAAAATGTTCAGATTTATGCCAGATTTTTTTTTTGTTGACATATTTCCCATTCATTTCAATGTGGGGTCATATTGACCCCGAAGAGCAGAAGTGTAAACGTTTTTTTTTTAACATACCTTCAGAACAACCAAATTAAGCCCAGTTTTTTTGTGTTTGTATAGATAGATACTGTATGAAAAGTCACAAAATCGTATTCCACTGAGATGAAGGGAACTTTTTTTTTTTTTTATTAAGTAAAAGTCGATTGGGGTTGTACAGACCCCATGACCCGATTGAGGGCTACATATAATTTTATTCCTGTTTTGGCAAAGCTGAATTTTCAGCATCATTACTGCATGATGCATGATCCATCAGAAATCCTTCTAATATATTGATTTGCTCAAGAAACTTTTTTGAAAACAGTTTTGTTGCTTAATGATTTTGAGGACAGCATGTTACTTTTGTTATTATTATTTTTTTTTTTGATAAATAAATAGCAATTAATACAAGTTAATGCATCCTTGCTGAATAAAGGTATTAATTTATTTAAAAAAAATAAAATAAACACCCTTTATGAATGACTTCCGGACGAAGGCTTGTGTGCTGAAACGTGTCGAAGTGTTTTCATAGTGTTGATTATGACCAGGCCATATCAATAAAGGCTTTTTAACTTTTCTAAAGAGAGTGCCTTGGATGTTCCTGTTGAATTCTTTATGAATGGATGAATATGTCATTATAAATCCATCAAAGTATTTCTGATGGCACTCACTCACAGTGATATTCCCTCTCGTAGGTGACGGGTACTATGGGAGGCATGAAGAGCGGCCTAAATGAGCACTTGTCTCGACTGGGCGAGATCTTTGCTGCACGGGGAGACTTTGTGCAGACGCTACAGTTCATGCAACAGATGTCAGATAGCATCATTAAGCAACTACTGGGGCTTCCTGACTGGGAAAAGGCAAAAGTAGACCTGGCCGCCATAGCCGATCAGACTGCATACGTGGAGTATTACAGGTAATGATGAGAGCTGTCACCTTGAATTTTACCATAATGTACCTCTCCTGCGTTTTCTCCATTTTCTGCAGAATGCAGGTCTATTTTCCACTCTTGTGTTGTAGCAAGAAAAATCATTATGAAGTATTTCATCCTTGATATTCTGCTAAGTGGGGTTGAGTGAAGCGCCATAGTAGTCCAACTGCTAATGCTTGACTACATGTGTGTGCAGTCTGGTTTATAGTTGCATTTAAAGTCATTTCCTTGCATTAGACACTATAGCAGTCCCTCCAGAAAAACGCGATTATGCGATCGCTGAATTCAATGCAAAATCAGCCAAAGTCCGCATATTTATGCGGGGGCCGCATTTTTTCAAATACGCCGCACTTTCGCTGCATAAATTGTCGATTTCCGTGCAAAATATGCGGGGTTTGCATAATTTCATAATCCTCACATTTTGGTTGCAAAAAAAGTCACATGTATCTTAGCAGAAAGTTGAAAAATGTTGCGTTTGCTTCACACAAGAGCAGCCATTTCCCCCTGTTTCCATGGGAACGTTATGAAGTGACGCAATTACGCGACGCCAGACAGACTCACGGAGGCGATTGACATCTCACAAATCAAACTTGTATAACTGTCTGTCGCACGTTCTACCGTCACATCGTTACTTAATAAACAACATAAGATAAAAGAAGTGTAGCATCAAACAGAAATTACCCGCACACATGGGGTGTTCGAGGCGCACATATAACACTGCAGAGAGTTCAACAGGAGCGCGCAGCTCTTAAAGGGGCCACACCTTATTTACACTCTTACAGTCTGAAATAAAACAAGATGAGAAATTAAATATTCCCAGCACTTTCTATGATGTAGTATGCTTGCTTATCAAAGAAAGTAATAAGAAATGACTCTTACATTAGCCTAGTGAGAACAGTATGTTGGGGGAATCACTTTTTTTTTCTCTTTTTCATCAAACCGCAATTTTTGCAAGTTCCCTCAATTTTTGCAAATTCCTGCAATTTCATCGCATAAAATTGCATAAATATCCCGCATATTCCATTGCATTTTTAAAGAAAACGGGCCGCATAATCAATCAATTTTTTGCCCGCAACAATCACAAAAAAATTCTGCATTTTTCTGGAAGGACTAAATACTATTATGGTAAATGTTATATATAAATCGCACATTTTTTCACAAATTTTTGGAAATTACCACCACAAAATCAGTCATTTTGATCGCAAAAATCACACAAAAAAAATCGTGAAATCCTGGAGGGACTGCTATAGATCACATGTTATTTACTGCTGGCCATTCATCTGCCAGTACTGGATTCACATCCCTGTCATCATTCCACATTGCAGATGGCAGGTTGAAAAGTGATGTCACAGTTCATTAGTGTAGGTTGCTAGAAAAGTTCATTTTTAATGGGAGGCATATTAATATAGCTGACATGTGATAATGATAATGTGAATGTGGATGTGCATGTGTGTCTAAGAGTAGCTTATTGAGAGACACTGTCATCTAGTCTGCTCTGACAACGTTTCAGCGTATGAAATATTTATACCTATAGGAGTTGTTCGTCTCTTAAAATAATTCATAATAGATGAAGAGCTCTCTGGAGTGGCCTCGCCAGCACACACGCACCAACAAGTAGATTTTATCACTTGGAGATTGCTTTCGTAGCTCAGGAGAGTCTCAGTCATGTTTTACTGAAGTATATAAGTCAAGTCAAGTATATTTATATAGCGCTTTTCACAATATAGATTGCATCAAAGCAGCTTCACAGTATCAATCAAAACATAACAATGTTCGTTTCTTAGTGGAAACACATCAACGTTTAGTTTAGTCAGTAGGGTCTAACATACAAGGTGTTGATTTAGATGAATTAACGAGTTTGCAAAATTCTTCCTCTCCTATAGCAACAAATGAATAAAATGTCTCCTCAGGGAGCCTAAGATGCACCCCCATATTCTGTAGTAGACGGTTGCATAGTTAAAATTTTGTCTCTGATATTATCGATCTTATAAGTGAAGAACTTCATAAAGTCATTACTGCTGTGTTGCTTGGACACTTCTGGGCTTGAAGCTTTCTTTTTCGTTAGTTTAGCCACTGTTTCAAATAGATAGCTAGAATTATGTTTATTTTTTTCTAATAGGGTTGAAAAAAAGCAGAACTAGCAGCTTTTAAGGTATATCTGTAAGCAAGCGAGCTATCTTTCCATGAAACCCAAAATACCTCTAGTTTTGTTTTCTTCCATTTATTTTCCTCCACTTCCATATAACTTAAAATGTAACCTAAAATTCCTTTGGAGAAGTAATAATGACACACATTAAACTATTGTTGACATAATAATATGAATGTAGATAGCTCAGATGACTTAGTCTTGGATCTGATGAAATTTTTTTGAGTGAATTTGAAGAATTCTATTGTAGACTTTGGGATCAATTTGAGAACAGTTTGATTGAATGTTTGACAGAATGTTTCTATTTTGTCTATGTGAAACAACTTCAACAACAATTGAAAATCAAAATCAAAGTGAAACTTAAATAATATATATATTATTTATATTCTTATATATATATATATATATATATATATATATATTCTCTCTTTTATATATATATATAAAAAATCTTTTTCTTCTCTTTATTCTGAAGATGGTTGACATACCTCCTGATACTAATATTGGATCTGGTCATCTGTCTTGCTGCTTGTCTGGGTCTGGCCAAACAATCCCGCTGGCTGCTCACTACGTGAGTAGAAACCTACATTACATTACACTGATAAATAGTGGAATTAAAGACATCTTTGTTTGAGTGATATTTTGGGTCTTTTTATCTTTGTCTATCACAATATGTTTTAACTTTCAGAAAACATCCTCTCCATGACCATTTATTTGATTTTAAGGTTCAGAAAAATGGGGGATGAAAAATGTGGCATGAAAAACTTTATCTCAGGGAAGAAAAACAATAAAAAATGTATGATATGACCCCCTTTAAACAAGTTAATTTAAAGAAAGATCAAAGAGAAAAGAACCACGAATAAAATTTTCTCCCCTTTCTCAAAGGATTGTCTGATGTTATGCTGTTCACCTGAAAACTACAGTATGTTGAGTTTCACCACAGTTCTCATTTGAATTACATTTTTAAAAGGAAACTAATAAGTTAGGCATACGTATGATTCATTTATCAGCTGGATTTTACTGCATATTAGTATTTCCTAAAGTGTTGTTCACTTGTGTACATACATTGTCCCAAAGGTTTCCAACAATGTTTAAATCAAGAGAAATTCTCAATTTCAGCCAGTGTAACATCCCTCCTCATTGCGTTATAATTTTAGTATAGTTTCCAACACCATTTAATTTGACAAATAAACTGACATGAATGAGTAGTAATTTAGCATTAAACATTGGTACTTCATTAGAATGAAATAAAATGATCAAACATAATTGTTATAACTTTATTTCATTACCTAATCCACGAACATGATATGTGTGTTTCGTCGGATTGATTTCCATTGGCAGTGAAGGTAAAGATGACTTTTCATGATCCTTCACAGCATCATCAAGTTACTCCTTTGTTATAGATTTGAATATCCGGCGAAACTTACATACTCTGCCTTTAGCATTTTGTTTCTATTGTGCATTTTTTTTTCAGTTGTTTTCTGAAAATGAACTGCTTTAACACCTGCTGGATTTTATATTGGGCGTCAAGTGGCGGCCCAGCGCAGTACCAAATTTGTTTATCATACTGTATTATTTATGGTGTGTGTGTGTGCAGGATGATGGTGTTTGGGGTTCTGACTCTCATACTGAGTTGGGCGTCTCTCGGAGCTGATGTGGCCACTGCTGTGGTGAGTATCAACCAACAAACCTGTTGTACAATCAGTGATTCGGTTCAGCTCATTATCTGAGAAATGGACAATTCAAGCCAAACACTGCATGTCATATCATTGTGTGTATGTGACATTATTTGGTTTTGATATGCACTTGAGGCGGGTCACTGAGAGTCCATTGCTTGTTTATATGGCAAAGCATGACAAATACTAGTCAACTGCTTTCTGCTTGCCTGAAGGAGGTGATAAACTTCCATTTTATTGCGTTTGATGTGGGTGTGAGTGATATCAAAATCACAATGGTGTATGTGTTTATTGGGAAAAGAGTCAAATGAGGCAGATTTCGTTAAACCACATAAATGAAAGAGTGGGAAATAAAAGAAAATGCAAGGAATGTAAAACCACCTTTGGATTTCTCTTATTTTACGATTCCCACATGGTCTCTGATATTTTCCAGTTTAGTAAAACCAAACCTTATAACCTTTTGTACTGTATTAGTGGGAGAGGAATCTGCTGTTTGTCCTTTTGGGTATGAAAAGAAATAGATTTATACAATTTTTTCAAACTTCTGAGCTCCTCAAATGCATTGTCCAAATTTCTTTTTTGCAACACTTAATATGACGGCATGCATGGGGGAATGTATTCTGGCCCACCCTCAGTTTAAAAGACCCGGTGACCGTTTTGATTCAGATGTTACTTCCAATACAACATTTTGTTGACAGTCTAGAAGAGTTAAGTACATTTCAAATCAAAATATTGTATCAAATCTGTAAATCATACCTTATTTTAGGCTCAGAACTCAATAAAAACAAAAGTTTTATCCCCTTTGTTTTCTATTTTGAACAATTTCTCTCAATCACTCATCCCTGTATTCACTCACTACTCTAACTCTAACTGGCTGGTTATGAGTGCATTTAAATGGATACCCACAAGCCAATTATATCCACCAAGAAAGTAAATCATATGGAAGAATCAATAGTATCAGTATGGAAGAGTGTTAGCAGAGAGAGAATGAGACTTTCCGTTGTGCTATTTTTACTGGTTATGTTTAAAAACTTTGAATTATGGTTGAATTATGTGCATATTAAAACAAAATGCAATATGTTACAGAAATATCATGTAAGCACTGAAATACACACTGATTGGCACACCACATGTTCTGGTTATAGATATACCGGTTTATGTTTGTCTGTGTGACTAATTTAGTTTATACATCCAGGTTGCAAATATTTCCCCTATCAGCTCATTAAGAGAGAAATGTTGATGTACCACCTCTTCAGCATCAGTGGACACGCTCCGTTCACTGTAATGAACTCATCGTTCCTGCAGGCGTTAGACACAGACACACAGGGCTTTGATCCTGGCTTCACGGCTAATGAATTAATGCATGACACAAGGCATTGAGCCTTAGGAGCTCACCATGATGTGGACTTGACTTTAAACTTTCTTGCTCTGAGATAGGATGAGGGAAATGTTACTGAAGAAAAATAAAGGCTCCTAATAAGTCACCATGCCTAGATATCTTTGCACCTGACGAATTTCAGATATGAAGGCAGTAGCATTATTGATGTGGACTTTTCTGAAAATAATTTTCTTTTTTTTTTTCTAATTCTGTACTGTCATTGTTTTCTTCATCATCTTCAGTCTTTTTGTTGCCTTGTCAGAGAAATCTCTCCTGGTTGAATGGGACAATTATGTAATCGCTGAATGCAAATTTATTGTTGACTGAAATACATCTTCTTTCACCGCCGGAAGATGTGCAGATAGAAAGTGTGTGTGATGTTTTTTTTTTCCTTAGACAGACATTTTAGCATTGTATCTGCACTTGCTGTTGCCTATACAGTTTGTATGGAGTCTGTGATATGACTTGGGTTGTACATTCACTCTTGTCTGACAGATAGCTGTTTTTTTTTTTGTTTTGTTTTTTACCTCTGAGTTTATTCTACAAGTCTACAGTATATAGGAGTGTGTGTTTGCACCTGTGTGTACTTCCTGTCTGTGTCGATTTATGTCCCTGCACCCATTGCACCAAACATCCTGAACCAAATACAAGCATTTTTAGCTATAAATTTACCGGTATTGAATACATATATACATATACACATAAATATATACATATATGTCTATATGTGTATGTATGTATATATATATATATATCATTGAAAGGTTGACGTTTTTTAAAGAAATTAATTTTTATTCAGCATTGGTGCATTAAATTGATCAAAAATGACAGTTAAGACTTTTACATTGTACATTTCAAATAAATGTAGCTCTTTTGAACTTTCTACAAAAATATTAAGCAGCTCATTTTTGTTCAGTTGTGAAAATAAGAAATGTTTCTTGATTTTAGATTGATTACTGAAAGATCATGTGAGACTGAAGACGGTAATAACGCAGAAAAATCAGCTTAACCATCAAAGAAATTTAAAGTGAAATAGAAAACTTAAAATTTAAATTGTAGTAATATTTCAAAATATTACTGGTTTTACTGTATTTTTGATCAATTAAATGCAGCCTTGGTGAGCATGTAAGGAACTCTTTTTTTGTCATTTTTAACTCATTTTTAATGGTGTAGTGTATCTTTAAATTAATTGCCGATTTATTTTATTTTTTTAAAATGTGTGTTTTTCGTTCTAGGGCACGAGTGATTTCTGTGTTGCACCAGACAAATTTCTAATGAACCAAACAAAAGACATAATCAGCTCAGGTGAGTGTATTTCTTATTCTAAATGTATTTATTTAATTTTTTTTTTAATTTTTTTTTTAAAATACAGACATGAACACACACACACACACACACAGTCATGGCCGGTTGATTTAATCTCTTTTTATGAATGGGGATTATGGTTCTTCAGTGAACACATGTGCATGAAATGGCATTTTTACACCATCAAGTGCTTGAATAGTTTAAAGGGTTAATCTGAGTGACCTTTAATCCTGCTCCATAATCACTGTGACTGAACACATCTGTAAAACAGCCATCCCTGAGATTATGTAACTTTAAATCCTGTTCTCAGCCATAATGTGTGTCTGCACTACCAGACAGACAGAAGCTCCCTCAGGTGCTCGAGGACGGAGCATCCCAGAGGAAAAACTCGTTCCTCAGAGGATGCTTTTTCATAGCTCGCAAGACTTAAAGGAGTAGATCAACTCAAAATGAACAGCCTGAATGGATAAAAATGGCTTCGAGACATCTGTCTATTATAGTGGATGTCATGCATCAGAAGGTGCATTTAATCGTAATGATAACAAGAAGAAATTCTGTATTTCATGTTGTTCGTAATGCACTCTTTCTTCTTTTCTAGATATTGTGCATTATTACCTGTACTGCAGCCAGACTCTCCCCAACCCGTTTCAGCAGGTACTATGGTTAATTGCACTTTTTATGTTCTACCTCACCAAAAATGATACCCTGTAGTGATGCGAATCAAAAGGAATCTGTTGCTATTTTGATTCTCATTCATTGTACTGAACAATACTGTTTTCCTTGCAAATCTTTAAAAAAATGTATTAAAAATTTTTACATTATTAAAACAAAGAACAATATATTAGTGAGTGAGTGTGTCATTACACCACTAATATTTTCGAAAACTTAATTGTTTCTTAATGGCTGATTCATTCAAAACGGTTCATTTGTTCACAAATCGGAGTGTTTACTGTATCCAATGCAATTTTGTATTCTTTGTCATCACATCCATTTCAGACTGCAATGTTACAAATCATAATAACATTTTTCATGGTAATATTTTTTACATTTTGTAACAGTGTTCTCATTGAAAGTGTGCCTGTGCCGCCTAAAATGCTCTCTTCATTATTTAGGTGTTCAAACGTCCAATAGGAATCGATTCTAAACTGCAACTGACTTATCGGTGTCCCTCTTCTTGTACTTTCCCAGTCTCTGTGTCTTTCTCCCTTCACTTCTCCTGTCTCTCAGCATCTCTCAGGGTTTTTAGGTCAGGCAGTAAAAGGCCAGTGTCCTACATCTGAGCTTGCTGCAGTTCAGCTTGACTTGCTTTAACAGAGTAACTGTAGATATCTCTGTCGGATCAATAGAGTTGTCACAGAGAAAAGGAAAGCAGAGATGTTCATAACAAGCTCAGTTGCATGACATGTATTGACCCACAGAGAGAAATATCTGTCTGTAGAGCATCATCAGCACTTGTGTTCCTGTAATGAGATGAATATCTGGTATTTTTAATCTTATTTAATCAATCTCTTTGTGTTCTCTTCTTGGTCTCATCTTTGTTTAATATCTAATTGGTCTTTATTCAGACTCGCACAGCCTCTCGTTCTGTCACTTTTTTTTTAGTTGAATAGTTCTTCTGTTTCATTATCTGTTGCTTGCCTCTCCTGTGGTCTGGAATTGAGAAGTTTTCACAGTGAATTTAATCACTTTCTCATCAAGACAAGAGGGTGAAAATAGTACAAATAAAGTGGATTTATTTAATCCGCTTTTAGATGCGTTTATCTGACGGTCCACCTGCTGGTGAATCTTGTGTCATATTTCATCACAAAATCATTTGTCCAACTCCAAGCATTGTTTGCATCACAGAAAAATCTCATTATTGTAATACAACAATTATCATTCCTAGAATATACTAATAAAAACATCATCTTCAGACACATTGCTTAATTTAATTTGATTATTTTTATTATTGTATATTTTTTAAGTTTTATTTTATTTAGTTTGACCTAATCATATTCTTTATATATATGAAGAGTTCAGATGCAAAAGCCTATAAGTGCCATTTGAAATTTTCTTCTAGAATGATCATTTTTATCAAGCTTGTATATTTAAGTTCAGTAATTTCACTTAAATTGCAATGAAGATTACCTATTAATTGTCATTTAAGTGAAATTACTGAACTTAAATATACAAGTTTGATAAAAATGTTCATTCTAGGAGAAAATTTCAAATGGCACTTAGAGGCTTTTGCATCTGAACTCTTCATATATATATATATATATATATATATATATATATATATATATTCATGTATATAGTTTTATCTATGGGTGGTGCAGTTTCTCACTCTGCTGGTAGGGAGTGGAACTGCATATCAGAACCGAACTGAACCGAACCTGTGATGTGTGAACTGTTGTTGTTGTTGTCGAGTTTGTTAACTTAGCCCTCAAACAAAACAAACTGATCCTGAATTAGTTTGTTTTGCAGTCGCTGACTGTCTTCCAGAGATCGCTGACCACCATGCAGATCCAGATACAGGGTCTCCTGCAGTTTGCTGTTCCTCTGTTCCCCACAGCTGAGGTGAGTGTGCCTGAGGACATACAGACTGTGGGATTAAATTTACATTTATGCATTTGGCATTTGGCATTTTTATACAAAATAGCTTGCGTTGTATACTTTACATTGTCTACAATATATATATATATATATATATATATATATGCATGTATGCATGTCCAGGTCAACTTTCACTCTCTCACACACAGACACACACTCACACTAGCTTTTCAAACTATCTACAATTCTTCATTTTAATATATATAAATATATAAAACTTGTATATTTAAGTTCAGTAATTTCACTTAAATAACAATTAATAGGTAATAATCATCATTGCCATTTGCCAAGTGAAATCACTGAACTTAAATATACAAGCTTGATAAAAATGATCATTCTAGAAGAAAATTTCAAATGGCACTTAGAGGCTTTTGCATCTGAACTCTTCATATATATCCAAGATTATGCTATTTAATTTCTGAAAAGTTGTTTCAAAGCTATTGTGTGGTTCTTTTCAGAGGGATTTATTGAGCATTCAGCATCTATTGAATAATTCAGAGGCCAGTTTACATCAGCTCACTGCTCTTCTAGACTGCAGAGGACTCAATAAGGTAGTGGGCACTCATACACATCTCACCTGCTTCTGTCTAAAATGATGCTGCGCGATTAATGAGATTTCCACAATTAGTAAAATGGATGTAATCTCTTGTGGCATGTGTGTGTTTGCAGGACTACCTGGACGCGCTGATAGGTGTGTGTTATGATGGAGTGGAGGGGTTACTGTATCTCTGTCTGTTCTCTCTGCTGGCGGCCTGTGCCTTCTCTGTCATGCTGTGCGCCATACCGAGAGCGTGGCGACAGATCGCCAACAGGTACAGAATGCATTATGATGCATTCACACACATTGACTACAGTGCACTTAAAAGGATTGTTCTCCCAAATTTACTCGCTCTCAAGTTGTTCCAAACCTGTATGAGTTTCTTATTTCTGCTACTTTAAAAACAAAAGAAGATATTTTGAAGAATGTCGGTAACCAAACAGTTGATGGGCCCCATTGACTTTTTTCCCCATACTATGGGATTCAATGGGGCCTTGGGTCTGTTTGGTTGCCTATATTCTTCAGAATATCTTCTTTTGGGTTCACCAGAAGATAGAAATCCATTTAAGTTTGGAACAACATGATTTTTTTTTTTTTTTTTGGGTCAACTATCCCTTTAATTATAATAAAACACCCATAAACTTGCTAGTTAAAGGGATAGTTCACAATGAAATACATTTTTGGTATGTTTTAGCCTACATAAAGGGCATCCAAGATGTAGGTGTCTTCGTTTCCGCAGTAGTTAAAATTTTGATATTTGTCTGCCAGTCATATAATGCAAGTCTATGGTCACCACCTCAAAGAGCATGCACAGAGAAGTCCAAATTAAACATTATTTAAACATGATAAGTACACATTGATGGCTTAAGGCACAAAACGAGCGGTTTGTGTGAGAAAACGAACAATATTTATATCGTTTTACCTCTTACCACAGCCACAAAGCGCCCGCGCCCTCACATCACTTGGTCGTGATTACAAGAGGTAAAAACGATATAAATACTGTTCGTTTTCTCACACAAACCGCTCGTTTCGTGCCTTAAGCCATCAATGTGTACTTACATTTACGAGTCACTAAATCATGTTTAATTTGGACTTCTCTGTGCATGCTCTTTGAGGTGGTGACCATAGACCTGCATTATATAACTGACAGACAAGAACGATTTGACCTAAAAATATCAAAATTGAAAATACTGTGGAAACAAAGACACCTACATCTTGGATGCCCTCGAGGTAAGCTAAAACATACCAAAAATTAATTTCAAAGTGAACTATTGCTTTAAGTTCTTTGAGAGTCAGTTGAAAGTTACAGGCAGGTCTGTTAGAGCCTTTGCATGATGACATTTCTCCAGAAGCAGGATTAAATGTATCAAATATTAAAAATAAATTGTTTGATTGTTAGTGTATGGCATACAATGCTTCTCTTTCTCTCTCCACAGAGATAGAGATTACGATGACATCGATGACGGGGACCCGTTTAACCCCCAGAGTCGACGAATAACGGCCCACCATTCACACCAGGGCAACATGCACAGCTTCTGCAGCTACAGTAGCAGCATGGGCAGCCAGACCAGCCTGCACCCTCCAACACAGGCCGTGTCCAACGCACCCCTGTCAGAATACATGTAAGAGTCGCCCTTTAAACATGATTTATTCTTTTTCATATTCTCTGATTTCCTGGTTTCAGATGGATGCGTCTGAATTGTGTGTGGCAGCTTAATTCAATAACTTTGGCATGTAATAAAGGGGAGATGTGTGATTGATTTTCCTTTCTTAAAGGAATAATAGATGAAGTTCACTGTGTTAGTTTTAAATGACTTATTTCCTTTCTTCCTCCTCCTCAGTCCGACTTAAACTCTCCACATCGCTTTCTCTTGTCATTCATCACTGTCTTGTTTTGTCAGGAACCAGTCTGCGCTGTTTGGTGGAAACCCACGCTATGAGAACGTGCCTCTGATCGGGAGAGGATCTCCTCCTCCTTCGGTGCGTTGGGCTCCAGAGGTCCAGTCCTTCTCATGACCACACATACACTCATGTTTACACAATAGCAATAGTTTACACTAAAGAAAAAAACTTAAAAAAAAAAAAAAAACAAGGACACAATATTTTAAAGTGTACATGAAATCCAAATTGACCATCTGTACACTACTGTTCAAAAGTTTTGGGTGGGTCAGGTTTTTTTAAATTAACACTTTTATATAGTAGGTACACATTAAGTTAATCAAAAGTGACAGTAAAGACATTTATAATGTTACAAAAAATATATATTTCAAATAAATGCTGTTATTTTTGTGATATTGAAGACTGAATTAATGATGCTGAAAATCCAGTTTTTCCATCACTGAAATAAATTCCTGGAATAAAGTCGCTTTTTGGATTTAAATAGGCAAAAATGTCAATGATTGGTTCATTATTGCAGGGATTTTTATGTTTCTCTCTAACATGTAATATGTTTGGCAATAGTTCTTCTAACCCTAATTGATGAATTGTGTAGCTTTTCATGTGGGAAGAGACACATCATGGTCATATTCCAGGATGTCAATGTCAAGATACTGCAGGCTCAAATTGTGAAAGAATGGTTATGAGGGAACATGAATAATCATTTTCACACATGAGTCCAGAGCTTAAATTCTTTGAAAGTCTTTGGGATGTGCTGGTGGAGACTTCACAGAGTGCTGGACTCTTGCATTGTCAATACAAGATCTTTACCATAAATTTAATGCACGATTTGATGGATATAACATCACAACATTTATTTCCATCAAGAGGTGCATCAACTTAAAAACACAAATTGGTTGAACAGAAGTGTACTTGCTTAGTACTTGTGTTATATCTGTGCTCATCATAACAAAAATTAGACCACACATGTGTATTAAGATTGGAGTTTGATTTCATGTTGACTTTAAACTCGTACTATGATTATTTCTATTCTTAATATTCTATTTGCTCTCCAGTGGTTTTGTACTGTCTTCTGCTAATAGCTTATTTTACGTTTTTTTTTCTTTGTTTGTATGTTTCTCTGTTTGTATGTTTCTATTCTTATTTTTCTTATTTTAACACAAAAAACAAAACAAACAAAAAACAATTCTTTTTGGAGCTTTACTCTCAGCCATATATAAACCGCGTAAGTTGCTGTATGAATGCAATATTATTGTCCCAGTCTCTCTGTTCTCTGATCCTCCCCCCAATTTTCTGTTATTTCATCCCTTGTTTTTATACTAAATTTTGTTTGGGTGATTTTCCCTTTTTCACTCCTGGCATGAATCCTCAATTCCTCATAGACACACCCACACATGTTGTATGTTAGGCACAGATTAGTTATATAGAGCACGCCCCCCCCTATTGGTAGGAGGTCAGAATGTTTTTGTAATTCTATGTCTAATTGTAGTGTTGTCTGGTCAGTAGCATGCCTTTAGGACCCTTTTGTCGCCTGCAAACTTAATAGGGGTTTAGAGCGACATGAGGATGAGTAAACTATGACAGAATTACAGTCTTTTGGATATTAACTAGCTAAAATTGCCTTGGCATCATCAGTAATCTTATGGAAGCTTGTTTCGTTGAGGAAATATACAATTAAAAAAAGGTAATTGTGACTTTTTAGCTCACAATTCAGACATTTTTCTTGCAATTACGAGATATAAACTCACAACTATCTGTATCAGTATTGGAACATGTCAGTAGGCTTTTGTGTCTCTTCGAACACATTCGACCACATGGACGTTTTCACTATGAAAGCTATCAGTTTTGGTTTTTTGACTACCTCTGAAGTGCTCGAAAGTGGACTAGCTCAAAGTTTTAGACCGCATCTACACCTGTATTTAGCGTCGTTAATACCAGATGTAAACGGGGCCATAAACTTTTCCCAGGACAAAGATTGTTTTTTTGCAATTCGCAATTCTGACTTTATAACTTGCAACTTTCTCTCTCTATTGTTAGTAAAAAGCCAGGATTGGGAGATAAAGTCGAATTGCGGGATATAAACTCAATTATGATTTTAAGACTAAATTGTGGACTCAGTTTGAAGAGACAAAAAAATCTGACATCTTTTTGCAATTGTGAGCTTTTATCTTGCAATTCTGACTTTATAACTTTTATTTGCAAGTTTATATCTCAGAATTGTGAGAAGAGAAGTTAGAATTGTGAGAAGGCATAATTAAATCTTTGGTGGAAACAAGCTACCATAGTAAACACTTTTAGTCCCCAACAAACAAAAAAAGTGTAGTTCATTTTCATTTCACTCTTGACAAATAGTCATTGTTTTTGCTTTAGTTATCCACCTAGATAGTGAGAGTTTGTGACTCCTGTGTTGCTGTTCTCCACAGTACTCACCAACCATGAGAGCCACCTACCTCTCCATGACCGAAGACCAGATCAGACACTTTGGGGAGGATTTCCGAGCGTAGAACTGATCCGTTTTCTTCTGGCATGCACACGTTTTACCTGGCGTGATTCTTTACACGCTGGAAATCTGGACACATGGAAAACACTCCCGCCAGCATGTGTGCGCATCTTTATTTGTGTTACAGGACCACAGTCTGAGAGGAGAACATGATGTTAGAAGTACTCCGTGTGTCTCCATATGGGTGCGTGCATGATGTATGTGTGTGTTTGTCGATTATTCTGATGGTGCAATGCATCCTTTCCCTCACTACTGACACATTTGTGAGTTTCTGAAATATCCTCTCTCTAATAATCTTTTATTTGTATGTTTACATCATATTTTTCATCAAATAGACTGTTGGTCTTCCCTATTGCCTTTCAAGTGCAGAAACTGTTCAGTGTAGGTTACAAAAACTATTTTGGACCCACTTTATATCAAGTGTCTTTAACTACTATGTACTAAGATTTAAATGATTCATTTGATGCAATGCATACATACATTTTTGCATTACATCTGTTGTTAATTTCTGTAATTACATCTTTCACGCTGTTGATACTTTGCCTACCTTTAAACCTAACTATACCACAAAACCTGTCCCTATACTTATCCGTATCCCTCCTCAGTAGCAGCAAAAGTGTTCTGCAAAACAACATGAGCACAATAAGTATGGTACCTAACAATCATTGTTTTTTTTTTTGTTTTTTTAGTGTTATTTACCATTTAGGTTACAGTTTATTTTAAGGTGTCCTTGTTATGGTGTAATTATACAATTTAGTACTGGTTGATATTAATTAGCTACATGTACTTAATATATAATTAGGTTTAGGATTAGTTGCTTATAACCATGCTCAAATTACTGTTTGTAACTACATGTAAAATGTGTAACAGGGACACTGTAAAAATAAACTGTTACCATTATTTATATATTAGTATACCGGTATACTATTATTATTTACTTGTAATTTTAGTTAACTAACAAGACGGCTAAAAAGTATTATTAATATATATATATATATATATATATATATATAGTACATAGAAGTTAAAGACCTAATTTTAAGTTGGACCTTTTTTTTTTTTTGGGACCAGAGTACACAACCTTCTAAAGGTTACCCATTTGTCATATTAAAGGTTGTACATATAAGTGTGGACAATGGTTGAAGTATCAATATTCTGTCCTACATAGTATACAACATTGCTAATGTCAATATAGTAGGTTTGCTAGGTACTTTTCTAAGCAATTGTTGCTCATGAAAAGGTGTCTGACGTTTTTTTAGCTACTGTGCAGTGAACTTCATGAACATGTCATCACTTTTTTTGATGGCTAACTGTACAGATACTAATGCCTTTTATCTTCTTTTGAAGTGAATATTTTGTTTTCTAAATGTTTTATGTGCCAAGAATGGAAGCATGTTTAGTGCCTCTAAAGCCTTTGTTTTCATTCCCTTATTGCTTAATGAGTTCCCACTGTGTGTTAGCAAGGATGGGACAAAGAGGGGGAAATGAAAGCTTTTCTGTTTGGTTTATGCATGTAGAGGCGTTTTAAAGTACAACATGATCACTTTATAGTGATCAAACAGTCACTTTGTACCACAAATGATGTCTCTAACATCCAGAGAGACTTTCACCTCATTTCCAGCAAGCCCAAATGAGAGGTCATTTTTCCTGAAACTTAAAATCTTAAGAAAGCACACTGAGCCAACTTTCTCCCATGCTGCAATGCGTATATGCTTTGAATTAACCTGTTCACCAGCTGTAAATAACCTGTATGGTAACAGATGTTGTGTGATTATTTCCATTTCTTTGCTCCATTCTTGTGTGCCACTCTCAATATACTGTTTGATAAAATCAGATACTTGGACTGATGCTTGTACGGCATTTCCTCGATTGAGATTGATGGTGGCTTCCGTCTCTGGTTTATTGCATATAGTGTTTTTAATACAACTGATTTTAATACTTTGGGTGCATGAATGACACTGTTGCAGACAGTGAGTTGGTGCTTGATTTCTGTCTAACTTAGAGGACAGAAACATGGATATAATAAAGCCATTTTGAACTGAATCGAGACATTTGAGTAAAAACTTTTATTTTGGAATGTATATAGCATTTATATACAGCACAAGGCTTGGCAAATTGCAGGGCAGGTTTTCAATGTCACTTTCCATACAACAGACACATGGGTATTTTTGGCTTTGCAAATGCCTAAACCTCAAAACAATTAAATATGTAACTAAAAATATATGTAGCCTAAATGATAGTGTACAAGAGTATCAAACCGTTTTACAAGTGTTAAAAACTTGTATTACATGACACTTGACCCGATATGATGTTTATAATAATATCTTGTCTATCTTGTCCTGTGAAGTTTAACCTTATGGTAATCTCTACCGTTTATATAGCTAACTAGCCTATAGGTTATATTATATATTTCTTTCATGTCTCAATGTCTGCCAGTGTCCTTTGACGATTTCAGTTATGGTGTTGCGAAAATATGATGATTTATGATGGTAAACGTTTGGATGCCAAAATTCACATTTTAACCGGACGTTTGAAACTTAGAGTAAATAACCATTTGTTATTGGACTGAAGGCAGCTGAGATTTAGACACAATATGCCTTGCATAAAAATAAATGTATTCTAATGAAATTGACTGAAACTGTTTATTTAACCACTTGTATGTTGCGCATTATTACTGAAAAAGAGTTTTATTGGTGCTTTTCTTCTCATTGAACCCTGTGTGTTGTTGTTACATGGCGCGCTCTAGTGGCCTTGTTGTCGAACTGCAGTAGAAGAGCAGCAAGCCTGAGGTAAAACAATCAACAATGTTCATCTCATATGCGAGTGAAACAATATAAAATAGCGCATTTATATGTAAGTGTACAAATTTAACTAGCATTAGTTGCTATTAGTATTTAGAACCATACCATTTATATTAGCACTATTAAAGAGAGTACAAGTATGCATGCAAACGTGACGTCACTTGCGCCACCGCTGCTAGGATACGGTAAACTACCCAGAGTGGACCACTAAAACCATCGAAACACAGAAAGCGTCTCAAAATCAGGTAAATATAGCCTATGGCTTATTTTGAAAGAGTTTAACTTTAAATGAATCATAGTCGGATACTTGTAATGTTCTGGAAGTATTTCCAAAACATTTGACACAGTTTTAGACCTTATGATATCTGTGCTGGTGTTTTGTTGGACTTCCCTAACACAGTAACAGTGACACAGCTGATAGGAGACGTTCTCAGAACTTTGGCTAACATTCTCTGGCAAGGTTCTCTAAAGTTCGTCTAACAACGTTAATAGAACGTTCGTTTAAAGTTGTCTATAACGTCGCATAAGATACATTTAAAATTAACGTTCCCAAGAAAAAACGTTTTGTGTGTTTTTGTATGAAACAAATGAAAGAAAGGGAGGTGGTCCTATCATAAATTATGCTGATGAGATTTCATGAGATTTTTTTTTTTTTTTTTTTTTTGTCTAGTTTAGTAAGCAGATAATCTTTGGTGACCAGTTTAGTATTAAAATCTAAAAACCTTCACTGTAAAACATTTAAGTGTTTTCATCATAAAGTTTCAGAGTTTCTCTTCTGTAAGTGGGTGTGTGACATATAATTCCACCAAAACTATTTTAATCCAAAACTCTTAAATCTTTATGTATAATAATTATAGAAACATTCATGACTACATTAATTGGGGAAATGTATGGCACATTTATCACTAGCTTGGTTTTGTCATCAATAAGTGGGTGTGATACTATAATTCCTTTAAAACTATTCAAATTAATTGACGAAATGTAAGACATATTACCGTAGTATTGTTTTTAAATTAATTTGTCACCCCACAGGACGATTGAAAATTAACTAGTGAACACAAAACATTTACCCAATATTTTTTAGCCCACGACTTGTTAAAATGTATAAAATTGTGCATTTGATCATGAACATCTTGTAACTTTACTTACCTTTAGCTAAAATGGAGATTGTGTACGTGTACACAAAAAAGCGCAGTGAGTTTGGCCGTCAGTGTAACTTTTCAGACCGTCCGGCTGAGCTGCATGTGGACATTCTGCCTGACCCTTCCCTCGCTGCAAACTTCACTGTGAGAGATCCATGTAATGCCACCATGCAGTGCGCAAAGGAAATGTCAGAGCATGAGGTGAGACCAGTTTAACAGCAACACATGAACACAAAAAGCTCTTTTGTAAACAACTGTACATTCATAAAATGTAATATTAGAGTTACAAATTAGTTTCCATCTTAGTTTGAAATTCTTGTCTAGGTGAACACAGAGCGCTTTGAATCAGAGTCACGAGGAATGAACCATGTGGAAGGAGGGTGGCCGAAAGATCTCAATCCAGAGGACGTGGAGGCGACCATCCGCTACAGGAAGAAAGTGGAGAAGGATGAACACTATCAGAACACGATTATGCAGATTGCTGGTGTAAGTGCCATGAAGTATTATATTTGAGATGAGAAATGATATGCTGGGTTGTATTGTGAGTTTCCTCTCAGAAGAAGACATGTTTTTTGACTTCTTTATTAAAACACATTGCAGCTCATGGAACACTGTAGCAAGCAGAACAACGCCACTGACATCTACCAGGACTTTTTTGTTGATGAGGTTGAGGAAGAGGTGGTGGAGGATTTAGAGGAAGAGCCATCAGCCAAGACGATCAATGTCTTCAGGTGAGCACACTCACCTGTAGTGAGAAGAGCAATATCAGCCAGGTCACTTGAATGAATAAAACATTTTCTCTTTTCAACAGATTTTTAGGCATTTTTGGGTAAATATTGTGTTCGTTTAAACATTTATATATTAATAGAAATGTTTCTTAAAGGTATAGTTCACCTCAAAAAAATCTTACTCACCCTCATGTTTCGTTCATCTTTGGAACACAAATGCATATCTTTTTGATTAAATCTGAGACCTTTCTGTCCTTCCATTGACAGCTACGCAACTACGACTTTGATGCTTCAAAAAGTTCATCTTATAAATATACTATATGAATTGAGCTGTTTAGTCCAAATTTTCTGAAGAAACACAATTTAGGCTTTTATTCGCATTTAAAAATTCACCAACTCACACATTATTTGTTGTAAACAGAAGATCAAGCATGCTTGTTTAAAGGGATAGTTCACTTTGAGGCCCAAACGTGCTGCTTAACACAAGAATGAACTTTATTGGTTCTCGCACGTTAAAGGGATAGTTCACTTTGAAGTAAATTTTTGGTATGTTTTATCTTACCTCAAGCGCATCCAAGATGTAGGTGTCTTTGTTTTCGCAGTAGTTTCAATTTTGATATTTTTAGGTCAAACCGTTCTTGTCTGTCAGTTATATAATGCAGGTCTATGGTCACCACCTCAAAGAGCATGCACAGAGAAGTCCAAATTAAACATGATTAAATGACTCATAAATGTAAGTACACATTGATGACACGAAACGAGCGGTTTGTGTGAGAAAACGAACAGTATTTATATCGTTTTTACCTCTTGCAACCACAGCCACAAAGCACCCGCGCCCTCAGATCACTTGAACGTGGCTGTGGATACAAGAGGTAAAAACGATATAAATACTGTTCGTTTTCTCACACAAACCGCTCGTTTCGTGTCTTAGGCCATCAATGTGTACTTACATTTACGAGTCATTAAATCATGTTTAATTTGGACTTCTCTGTGCATGCTCTTTGAGATGGTGACCATAGACCTGCATTATATAACTGACAGACAAGAACGGTTTGACCTAAAAATATCAAAATTGAAACTACTGCGGAAGAAAAAGACACCTACATCTTGGATGCCCTTGAGGTAAGCTAAACCATACCAAAAAACAAAACGTATTACTTTTGAGATATAGTACTTAATAAATTGGGTATCTGTGCATTTTTCTAGAGACCCAAATGAAGTGAAGCGCACAGCCACAAGTTTATCCTGGCACCCCGATGGTAACCATAAACTTGCTGTCGCCTACTCTTCCCTGGAGTTTCAGAAAGCACCCAATAACATGAGCTTCGACTCCTACATATGGGACATTGGTATGCCATAAAGCAAAAACAGCTAAATGAGTCGCCACACTTAGAAAGAACAAACAATATATATATATATATAAAACATCTTTTCACCTTCAGAAAATCACAATAAACCTGAGATGACCCTGAAACCTGTATGTCCACTTGTTTGTCTGGAGTACAACCCAAAAGATTCACACATTCTCGTTGGGGGAGGCTACAATGGACAAATTGGTAGGTTTCATCGCCTGAGCATCTCTTTGAATTCACAATTAATCATTTTATATTCCAGCTACTAAAACCCTTATGACCATCTGAACTCTTTCAGTGGCTTAATTAGATTGATCTCAGTCACTCTGGGCATTTAATAAATTAAAACCATCAATAAATTATGGTTTATGGAAAAAAAGTTCCTTTGACCTTGTCTGAATAGTGCTTGATAGACGTGTCTCTTTTGTAAAGTCTAATGGCTGAGCTAATTGCCTTTGGCATTGAATGCATAGTTGAAATGAGTAATGGACACAAATGTCCTTGTTTATTTTTGTAAAATTATGCAAATACCAGCGTGTTGTTTACCCCATTACCAGCGTACTGGGACACGCGCAAAGGCAGCCAGCCAGTGGAGATGTCCACCATCGAACACAGCCATAGAGATCCTGTCTACAAAGTCATCTGGCTTCAGTCGAAGACAGGCATGGACATCTTCTCAGCTTCTACAGATGGTCAGGTCTGTGTGCAATGACACATAAGTCTAAAAGTAAAGAAATAAACCTCACAATATTTCATTGAGGCTTGCATTGCAGTCCTCAAAATATGCATCTGTCACCAGGTGCTGTGGTGGGACATTCGTAAGCTGAGTGAGCCCACTGAGAGTCTGGTGCTGGACCCCAGTAAGAAGTGGGACCTTGATAATGCCCTTGGTGCAATCTCACTGGAGTTTGAGACCACTATGGTAAGACCAGTTCTGTTTTTTGTTGTTTTTTTGGTTTAGTGCTAGAAGAAACTTCGTGGAAACAGATGTTGAGAACTTAAAAATACTTTTGTTTTTGATTACACAAGCCTACTAAGTTCATGGTGGGCACAGAGCAGGGTCTTGTGGTTTCATGCA